TGGGGAAGGTAACAGGTTGTTTTATAGATAACCTAATGTAACATAATATTTTTATATAGAGGTAGAGTTTAACCTATAAACTCCTTGAATATTTTTGGCATAGTGGGTATAAGAGCAAAATATAACATCATGACTTTTAACACTTCTTCTTCCCAAAAAAAACAATTGTACACATACATATTAGGTAAATATCACTCCAAGTTTTAACCAGTTACCAATGCCATAAGTCCCATTTTAAAGGGCTGTATATATAATTGTACAACAAGCGCTTATATATGTATATATTCTTATTCTTATTGTTTGTTTTATTTAACGACTGTTCTGTTTTGTTTTTTTTTTCTTTTATAATTATTTGAAATGTATAACGCCTTGGTTTTATGACTGTAATGTTATACTATTTAATTGAAATAAATAAATAATATATGTAACTTGCATATAAAATAAGCCAAGCGATAATGCAGACAAGAACATATAAAGTTTTGAATACTACAGATAGGTAAGACGCCTAAACATTTTTTGCTTTAGTAAGACATCTAAATGACGAAGCGAGCGAGCCATCAGGCGTCTTCCTTCCCGCCAGAGAGCACCAGATAGCAGTTCAACAAAAAGTATTTGCACACATTTATGTGACTTGGTTCCGTAACCTTAGGCATTGTTAGCATGGAGGGCTCTTATCAAAGTATTTTTAGATGAGTTTATTGTGCTTATTATGTGGGAGTACTTGGTTGTTTGTTTATATTGAATGGTAAATGATGATCATTGACAGCGATCAAAATTTTTAATAAAACTAACATTTATCTAATCTCACTGCACGGTTGGTGCGGTGGCTGGGCAACCGGCTGCAGTGCGACGTATCGCGGGTTCGATACCCGCAGGGAACAAAACGTTTTGTGATCTACAAATTGTTGTTTTGGGTCTGGGTGTCATTGTGTATGTGAACTTGTTTGTTTGTAAACGCACCCACGACACAGGAGAAAATCCTAATGTGGGGCAACGTTTCAAAAAATTTCGAATTTGGATTTAGTTAGGGCCTGCAGTTTTGACCAAAAAAACGACAAATATCGGTAAATCAACTACCTATATAAGTCAAGCTCTAGCCAAATTCGAGGTTTAGGCCTCCGTACAAAATAAAAACACAAACGCAGCCCTCCAAAATTGCATTTCAAAAAAACAAAACACAACCGACAAACGGCCCACGGTTCTACAATTTGAAAATTGCACAGCCCTGTATATAATCTCTTTGTGAGTACGTTATCGCAGTTTGTAAAATAACAATATATTCAAGTAACACGTATAAAACGAAGGCGATACCATTATGTGGGATGCTTCACATTATAATAAAGGTTGTGGCCATAAACAGGCTTGTGAGCGCGTAAACCTAGTACATAACACATACATAACACGTTACCGGTAAAGTGTATGATTCGGGGAATATGGGGAAGGACCTAATGACTAGTAACTAGGATATTTTATCGTTATAATATGTTTAGTACCGTTTCCAGTTTCATAGTGCGCTACGGTATTACTTAACAAAATTTTGCATCTATTAAGATTAGCATAATAAGAAGTACCTATATGTGTACCTATTTGTAATATGTAGATATTACAATGAGTTGAAAAACTCTGCATATTCAATTAATTAATTGTTGAACATTCTATATTAATTTGGTATTTCTATTGACACAACATTTTTAAATGCATTTTACACTTCTTAGATATTAGAACAAAACTTTGGTATTAAGCAATACAGAGTTCTCGTACTTGCAACTTAGGTGCACATAATAATAGGTCTTTACCTATGAAATTGTATTGTGTGTATTGTTATTTGTATCTATTGATTCTTCTGTAATAATTGTATGTATGTATTAACCTATTATGTACTTCGATCGTTTCCCTAAAAAAATATGATGTCACCCCATTTTACTAATTTAAAATATTCTAAAGATTATAAGCTAATCTGTGAAAAGTTTTTTATATTTTAAAAATGTTGCAATAACTGGTTCGAGCCATGCTGTTTCTTTTATACGATTTTAGTAATTGACTGGGCAATCCCAGATACCTAATAAGTAATAATATATTAATATTTTATTACAATATGTCAGAATAACAGATCCTGTTTCAATTTTAAATAATAAACTACTCTCAATGACTTCTAGACTGTTTGAATATACATACCTAATAATAAAGTGGAAACTAAAAATTAATTCACATCTTTTTCCCGCGAAAGAATAGGACAAAGTTGAAAAGTCATTTTATTAGTTGAGACAAGATATTTTTTTATATTCAAGAACATAAATATCATAGACACAAGGCCCAGAAATTAACTTTAAGAAGAGAAGAGAAGATATACTAAGGTATATTCAAAAACAATTTTAGCATGGAATACATCGTGAGGGTGCATACTGCACACGGGATAGGGTTGTCACTACGAAAATTTTGATCATGCAATACTTCCCTAAAAATGCAAATTTAAGTTTTTGACGTGACTTCTAAATCGATTCCTAAATTCACGTACGAACAATGTTCAATCCTAAAGAGGGCAGACAGTCAAAGTCAAGGGAATTATGTCAGAATCTTAGTTTTCAACTGCGTAGACACCTTTTGGACAGCATTGCGTTTTTAATAGGTTCAATTTTACCTAGGTCTGTTAAGGCGAAATTGATTCATATCGCTATAAAAAGAAGAATTTATCTTATAATTCTACTAACATATTTTAATTACATAATCTTGACTTTCAACTATAACTGGAGGCATTTTTACTTGTGTAAAGTGGAACTAGATCAAGAAGGAAATAAACTAGATGGTAAATTGCATAAAACTTACCACTACAACATCGAAATTAGAAATTATAGTCATAAATAGATAAATAAAACAATCAAACAGAATTATCTATAAGTACATTCGTGTTCAATGAAAACTATAGTCTTTACAACTTAGAACTTAACTACCAATTTCCTTTGTTATATTTTAACGATTCGTCCACTCTGGTAGCCCGCAGCTGTCAAGCAGCTCAGTGCTCACAGTAGTCAAACGGCCGGTTAGCTTACTTTACGATTCCGTTTCTAAATCGTTGTGTTATTTAAGTCTAAAGTCAAAGGGAACCCTTTTCATGCGAAAAACTTTGTTGGCCTTTCTCAGCTTTGACGTCAGCTATAGTGAAGCGTCAACCTAGAAACCTAGAAAGGTAAGGAAGTAATTAAAGACGCCTTAGGGTTTACTGTCACAGCACATACACTATTTGAACCTACGTCATGACGGGTGAGGTAAATAGAAAGAATAATACATCCTCTCATTATATTTTGTATATTGACAATAATAATGTTTTGTGGTTTTTATGCGTAAATTAATAAAATTTATTATGTTAAGTACTTTAACAGTCATCAATATAATGTGAGTCATTATTTCAGTACGAAAAGCCAGTAGTGTGAAAATTAGAACCTACTTATATTACCGATATTCAAGGGAAATTACTTAAATCTTATTAAGTTGAAGTTTAATATAATACTATTAATCCTCAAGTTTATAGTTAATGAAGAGTTCGTTAAAATTTCAAGCCTATTTAATTACATTTGCAACGCTTATCAGCCGTCAACTTTAACGTCAGTGCCATTGTTGACTCCGTGTATTATTTATTTGTTTTTTATGAACATTGTGTAATAAACTGAGCTTGGAGTATTTTCGTAGCAAAATAATGTGTCATAATTCACACGTGTGTTATGGGCTGTTTAACCCTCGACTTCTAATTAGGTGTGTTGAGTACCAACCGCTTTTACTATGGAGAGATAGTAAATGGTACAACTGTGTGCACAATGCTTGAACCTAATGATCTGATCTCAAAATAGATAAATAAGTATTAATGAGATTTGGGAGTAGTCTTCTGGTTGAGTAAAGTGTTAGTGCGTATTTGTATTTTCTACCTACCAATAGTAGGTAAATCTTAACACATAGCAAAGTATGATTTGTTCTTGTTATGTTTACTATAAAACGAATTAAAATTATTTTCCTATTCGCAAATTGTGGTCGGAAATTACTATGCCAAACGATAATACTATACCAAACAACGCACATAGCTAGATATACGTACTTATGATTTCAGCACGGCCGTACAAATACATATATTAGAAGTGTTTCGTGAAGGAAAATATTGCGAGGAAAACCACTAATTTAATTAATTATGAGTATTATGAGTATTATTGTGTTCAGAAAATATCGTGGTTCCCTTCACCACAGACTTATACACATTGTTTATTTGTTTTGAGCTGAAGATAACATTTTAACCAACGGCAATTTTTTACGAAAGCGTCTTGACGTCATAACTCATGACGTCCCGTTTTCTATGTTATATTATTCAAGTTTTCATACCCTATGTCAACTTTCTATTACACATCTCAAAAGTAGTGTTATTACCTGAGGGCTAGCCAGGGGCTTTTTGCATTGAAAGCGAGTCTAAAGTTAGTGTGTTTTAAAATGTGCAGTTTACCTTATGACAAACTGAGACAATTTTCATGACTATATTCTTAAATTTATATTTATTGGTGTTTATTAAGCACATTTACCTCTATCATAACCTATAAGCTTATTGCCAAAATAAACGAACCCATGGGCTGAAAATATTACCAATGAGTGACATTCAGGATGTTCTTATGAACATCTGAAACTTTATGTGTAGTGTAGGTATACCTATAACACTCATGAAACTATAGTGACACAGAAGACAAGATGCCCCGTTTATATAAACATTTTAGAGGTATTTTTCAGTAATTCCCGGTTTTAAGTTGAGAGTTTTGCTAATATTAAAAGCGATTATTTTGCGGTGGGATTATTATATGTAGCAGCTCTGTAACAGAAATAGAATAGTATACAGGATGTCTCAGAAGTCTATGTAGGTATAAACGACGCCAGAAAAGTACATTACTTAGATGTTTGTTTGATAATCGTTGAAACTTTGTCGACCACTGGGTGTCGTCACATCCTGTATATTATGGCTCCTAGGTACTTACATTTCTGTGAGTCGGTCTTCTGCGTCGGCTTCTTGTCGCGCACCATGGCTGCGGGGCGGTTGTGCGGGGGTTGCGGGCGGCGCGGGCGCGATCCTTGGTACTATCGGCCCCGCCCGGCGCCGCTCGCGCTCAACGCGACTGTGTTGTCGTGGTTGTGCCAGATACCTGGAACAAAACCAATATTTCTGCTAATCAATCATTCTTATACGTGTAGAAGAATTGTCATTAACTCGTTGAGTACCGTCATTGTAGACACAATTATAGACCAATAGGTTGCGGTCACCGGTGACTGCTTGGTGTTTGACAGTTTAATCAATAAATTGTATTGTACTAAAATAAACATCATACAATAACAGAAACAACAAAATAACGCCAACGAGAAAGGACTCGCCTACGAAATATCTTGCTATCATCTATGTTATGCAGCAGTAGCCTGCTAGATTGATTGTCATTAAAAGTACACATTTATTCTGTTGATCCACTAAAAATGCATCAACTTAAAAAAGATAGAACATGCGAAACTCGCGAACAGAGTGATATTCAGTTTAAAAAACCTTAATCCATTAAGCTCTTCTACATAACAGTGGACTCATTTACATCAGTTACCTATATAATATATCATTATCTGTCCTTCAAAACTAGATCATCGTGTGATAAAGTTGTTAGAGGTTCACCGACAGAAGTAACTAAGATCTCTTTATATTTATGTGTGATGTGATTTGTAATGCAAAACACATCCAGTGGTCGTGATCCCGTCCCAAATTTATTCAAGCGACTGCAGGCGTTCATTGCCTTTGTGAGTTCATCATCTAGTTGCAGTAGTACGATGATTGTTTATAAAATGTTTGATATTTTTATAAGATACTAGATGACCTATAATTATATGACCTACTAGCAGCCCGTCCCGGCTTCGCACGGGGTAGACAAACTTTATTTTTGGAAATTTGAATTGTTGTAGTGACATAACTACAATAGTTGGACATATGCTACCGCGAAGGTTTATGTAGACATTATGATGTTCTTCAATATTGTTGTAAGTACATTATTTTGTTCTATCGCTAATAGTTTCGGCAGCGCATTCTACGAAAGACATTTTAAGACTCATTTTTCTACACATTCGGTTACATTGTTCAAATTATACCAAGGGTCCCTAATTTTTTTCAAAATGAAATGTCAAATTGGAAGAATGTAGCATTCTATTGGTGAAAGAATTTTTTAAATCGGCCCAGTACTTTTTGAGCCCATTCATTACAAACATAGAAACATACAAAAATAGGTACAAATCTTTCCTCTTTATAATATTAGTATAGATAATAAGAATACTTCGTACCGCCTAAAAATGTTTAAACCTTCCATGGACTTCCACGAACATTTTATCGAAATCGAAAACAAAATAAGTGAAATCAGTTCAGCTATCCTCGAATTTTAGCAACTCTAACGAACGAAAATTCATTTTTATTTACATAGATCAAATGTATGGTCAATTCAATTCATATTTTGTAACTAGTCTTGTTATACTACAGAGCAGTGAACAATTAGACATATGTTACAGTTTGATTATATTATCAAACTAGAGGCCGACAAAACAGTTTATTCACGCTAAGCCTAACACCACTTTACAAAGAATGAAACAATTCATTTTATTTCACATCTATAATACACAATATTAAATGTAATTATTCAGCTAGTTACCGATAGTAGTGAACGAGAAGCAAGAACGAATTTCAGCATAATCTAATCAGAGGACATCAAAGGAACGCTTCTATCAAAGAGCAAGAAAAAGTAAGGGAGTTCTAAGTTCACCTAACTCCACATATATGGGCGGACGAAACTGTAATATTATATTATAAGGACGACTTTATTTTCTCCTTTGTTCAAGGTAATCTCTGAACTGAATCGTAAAGCGATTCCGAGGTACAATAAGAGGGATATCCAAAGCTGAATGAAGTGTAACCATATTTTGTGCTAATCTTTTTTGTTAGGTATTTGGTATAAAACGTAATAGTGGCTGGGTATTCTCTCCTTTATCTATTAGGGTAAAAATACTTGGTTGAACGAGTTGACACCTATTGGTAAGTTTTTTTTATGAGGTAGTTAGCCGAAAAAATGACATTACCGATCATGGTGCGTAATCAGCGCTGCCCATAGATATACACAACACCAGAGGAGCTATAAGTACCGCAATCATACCTCAATCATACGGTGAAACACAACGTAAAAGTATAAAATAATATAAATATTTTTTGAACTATTTACTTCACATAGGAAAATTGAGTTTAGTATCTGCTACATAAGTTTATTTCATGAAGAGGCTCCCAATATAAATAATCCTTAATATACATTTACTATGCATAAAGTATTGACGAGTCTATAACATACCAATAGTACGAAGAATTATTGTTATAGGTAAACTATCATCCTGAACTCAAACTCTTTACGCATCATCGCATAGACAAGATAGGTATAGCGTTTGCTACTGAAAATCAATCGCGAAACTTGGCACATACTTACGTAACTTTAAACTAACTATTGACTAAGTCGGGCTTGGAAAGTTGCTCGCATCGAAGTTAATCTTTAGGCAATAGAAATCATGGATCAAGTTCCCCACTTCACGTATAGCGAACTAATCAAAAGGAAAAATTTGAATTTAACGGAAAATCTGGTGAATCACAACAGTTCATGTAGTTAAGGGCTCAAACTCGTGATTATTCCTATTTTAATGTTTCTGAAGAAATGCAAAGAGCATGTAACACTTTTAGGCAAATATCTCTCAAAGTACCTATCTGTATAGTGCACAACTCTCACTGATCTTAGAAGTACGTGTCTGTTTGTCTAGCCCGGGGTTGTGTGTGCATGTCAAATTAAATACACCCTATACCTACACTGTCGAATGTGACAATAAGATATCTGTTTTAAATCTATACATTTAGTTCATTACACTTGCATCTAGTTTTGGTGAACAAAATCAATAACTTTACAACAAATTCAAAAGTAGGTACTACTACAAAATGTAAACGACAGCCACTTGTAAAGTTTCGAGACTACAAACAAGTCTTCGCTAAAATGAAGAAATACATAGACTTAGATATAGACCGCAATATATCCGCTAAAAGTAGCAACAAATTTTATTTATATACTCGTTCTTGTCTACCGATCTTCCGACAGTGAGAGGCTTACCGAAATAGTACTTTGCAGACTGGTCGAGTTATCCGCCTGACGGGTGTAAAAATAGATTAAGATGAAAGAAATGTTGCTAAAATAGTAAAATAAGTAACATAGCATTATATGAATATATCAACAAGGAAATCTAAACAGATAAATAATATTGGAATGTGTAAAATATATGTTTTTACAATTATTTTTCTCTGACTGTATGTTTGCACTCGCTAATCTCTGGAATGGCTAGACCGATTTTGATGGGACTTTATTTTGGAAATTTGAAACAAAAAGTTATATCCTAATATATATGTATATTCCACCCGGACGAAGTTGCGGGCAATAGCTGATCATAAATAAAGAAAGAATACCAATGAATGTTCTGAAATCAATATCTTTACGATATTGCATTACTGTATTTAATAAAGAAGAACTGAATATATACGGCAAGCCTCTAAAACCCTATTGGTTATCGAGTTTATCTTAATAGACATCTAAAATATACTACAAGCTGTAATCCCGGCTGTACATTGACGGATTGCCAAGCCTCCGCCTATCTGCAATATTGAGTTACTCACACCTCCCGCGTGACACTTACAAGCGTTGGGTGATAATAAATAATAGATTACTGCACTCTATCCCACTTAACCCCTTTCAAAGTTTCCATAAGATGATCGTCTGATACTAAACTTATATCGGAAGATGGATTGAACAACTGCTATTAGAAGATCATAAACTACAAGATTCGAAGCCTATTTTACTTCAAAATTTACTGGATTTTGTAATATACATAAGTATAAGTAAATTAAATTAAAATAAGATGAAGGCCTTGAAATAACTCTGATGGTAAATAATCTTAAAAATACATATTCTTAATCTTAATCTTGAAAATACATATTCAATGTATACGCAATGAGTACAGTTTAAAGAGGAAACATACTTAAATGTATAATTGTCATAAAACAAGTTATCCTCGCCATGAAACGTAAATAGCAGACGGTAAATTTAGTAGACACTGATTGTTCATTCAAAGCTAAGAGGTTCTGACAAAAAGCATCGCGACGTGCGAAAACAACAAAGTAGCAACCACGAACTGTCGGCCAAATTACTGAATTTGGACTCGTTCCAAACAATCTCTTAAAACACAACCATTTTAATTGACGACTTAATATTAGTTACAGAGCCTTCCCGTGTCGCTGGTGAGCCATGCAAATTATTGGAGCGGCAAAATTCATTAGCCTTCCGGAAAAACGATCAAAGCAATTTAGAACCGTTTACGTGAAGCGATGTCGACGTGTGATGTGTGGAACAGGTGATGCATCCAGTACAACAGGCCAGCCTCGTGATTACCTGTGCTATGGGCATTTATTATGAATGCCATCAATCCTCTGAAGTGGTCCGAACCACTCGTTCGTTGCACGTAATATTTTATCCTATAAAACTATCGCTCGGATTGATAACACGATCAAAATAATTGAGATTCTCGTCAAACAAATGCGAAGTTCGAAAATGTATGAACAGGTAATTAATATTGAAGTTCTTGATTAATTAATAATAAATAAATAAATAAAAATCTTTTATTTTCAGGCGTCGACGGCCCATAGAGTGTTAGTAAACAGTACAAACTTAAAAACTATGTTAGTGGTAACACACGAGTACAAAAATACAATAATAAAATAATACATACACAAATACAAATACAGAACAGATTATTATTAGAAGCATTATCAAGCCCCACGTCTGACATGCAGCTTGATAAATCTATCTATTGTAGGCCCTTCTAGCCTTTCTGCAAACACCCTCAGAACGCCGTTGCTGCTCTCCCTCAGTCTGCGCAACACTGACGCCACTTTTTTGCGCATGATCGCGAAATAATCATCAGTGTGCGCATCCGCGAACATACCTGACGCACTACAGTAAGGTGGAAGCCTCAACAGCGTCCTGAAGGCGTTATTATATTGAATGCGCAGTGCGCTGTCCGCCCTTTGAGTATGATTAGCCCACAGACT